TTTTTTCCCCCAGGGCTGGGGATCGAACCCAGGGCCTTGCACACGCTGGGCGGGCGCCCTTCCGCTGGGCTAAACCCCCAGCCCCGGATATTCAATAACTTTGGAAAGGTAAAAAGTGGTCCTTGGACCCAAAACCATTGAGATGCTTCCCCTAACCCATTTGGTCATGACAGCTGTTGTGCATGGAATGGCTTGAGTACGGACTACACAGGGAAAGAGGCATCCAGTGGCAGGCCTGTAAGATGACTCCCCTACCTACCCCTCCACTCTCTAGACATTCCTCAGTAAATTAATTTACATGCTGATCAAAGGATTTCCTCCCAGACAGGAGTTGGTGCTTCTGACCCTGGCAAGCACAGTCCATGCTGACCTCATGTGTTTAGAAGAGGCCTTTCTGTGGAGAATTCTCCCACTGAGCAAATGTTACAAAGAGTGGAGAGATTTGACAGTGGAGACTGACATGTTCTCCAACAGACAATGCTCTGTTATGAGATGTGATTGGGGGGTGGGGGTGGGAGGGCATTTCCAAGAACCTAATGTCATTTACCATTCTGTTTCTGAGGGCAACAGAATCCCTGATAGCAGTAGTTGCATTACAAATAACTCTTTTATCATTTTATAAAAGGTAGACAGCGATTTATTCTCTGAGTAATGACAATCTGTGTTGGTCAAAATTGGAAGCCAGCCAAAAATAACTTAAGACATAATTCATATTCCAACGTTGGCTTTTTAGAATATAGAGTAAGACAAATTTTCTATCTTGAGTGAGACTGGAAGCCCAGAATTTACTTATAAATCTCTCCATCCTGTCAGATATCCAAATGACTGGCCAGAACCTGTTCAAGAAGGCATAAAAGACTTTGGGAAAAGTGTCAAAAGTATAAAGTATTGAACAATTATTTTTGCAAAACCTTTCACCAAAGAAACTATCCTTAGATAGAGCTGGCCTGTTCAGTTCTCACCTTCACTCCCAAGTCTGTTCAAATCACAAGAGCCATTAAGTTTATTTCTGCAGTCTAGTTTGTATTGTTGTTCAAGGATGACCAGGATTTCATGCTTTAGGTGAAGCTACGCAACTTGAGATTTTTTTTTTTCTTTTTACCAAATACTTGAAGTGAAACTGGCACTTAATATGCTTCTAGTAAATCTTTCTTGATTAAATGTTATGGTCATTAATGGTTACTAGGTTGTTTCTTTTCTTTTTTCATTTGCTAGAATCAAACCCAGGATTCCATGCATGCCTGGCAAGCACTCTATTATTGAGCTATACCCCATAGTTCACTTACTAAGTTCCAGGTCCCAATCTACCTCATTTAGTTCTCCTCATACCTGCAGGATATAAGTGCTGTTTTACAGTTTTACAGGTGAGGAAGCAGACTCAGTTGCCAGAAACTATCCAGTGTATGTGTGCCAGAGAAAGGATTGGAATCCAGGAAGTTAGTCCCTCTGCACCTCCCATAGTGAGCATGTCCTGTTTATCTGAGTGGCCTGCGAATAACATCACATGTTTTATAATATCAAGATCTTGGAGTCTCTATGGGAAATGGCGGTTTTGAGTTCCACACTATCCTTTCTTTCAAAAGGCCTTCTCTTTGGGCACTGACGCCTCACACCTGTAATCTTGGCTACTCAGGAGACTGAGTTCTGATGATGGTTGTTCAAAGCCTGGGCAACAAAGTCCATGAGACTCATCTCCAGTTAACCACCAAAAAGTCAAAATTGGAGCTGTGACTCAAACATACTAGCACAAGAGCTCAAGAACAGCACTCAGGCCCTGAGTTCAAACACTAGGACTTGTGTGTGCTTACACACACACACACACACACACACACACACACACACACACACACACACACACACACACACACACAGCTTTCTCTATACTCAGAGTGTGTATCAGGCTCTATTTTGTCTTCCTATCATGCCCTGCCTCAGGCCCTGAGTTCAAACACTAGGACTTGTGTTTGCTTACACACACACACACACACACAAACAAACACAGAGCTTTTTCTATACTCAGAGTGTGCATCAGGCTCTATTTTGTCTTCCCATCATGCCCTGCACACGCACCAACTGGTCTGATTCCCTATTGGGGATTTAGACTGACTTCCTGCTGACAATAGCTGACTTCCTGGTAGCCTCTACTAATAACCTCTTGAATAGCAGCAGTCACTGCTTCAATGTATTAAAAACCAAGGAACAAATGTGTATCTCCACAAATCTGCTGTCTCTCTGTATCTGCAGGTGATTGGTTCCAGAACGTCCCGTCCCCAGATAGCCAAATCTGCAGACTCCCAAATCCCTCACACAAAGTAGCATATAATTTGCACATAACTGATACAATTCTCCTATATAATCACCTCTAGATTACTTATAACCTAATCCAATGAAAACATTATATAAAAATTGTTATCCTGTATTGTTTAAGGACTAGAAAAGTATATGTCAATACATGTTCCATACAGATAATTTTCTGGTAAAATATCTTCTATCTCCTGGGAACCAGGGCCAGTAGCTATGCCAATAGCTACTTGAAATGAGAATAGGAGGATGTGGTTCCAGGGCAGAGAGGACAGAAAAATTCATGAGACTCCTCAATCCAGAGCTGGGAGCAGCGGCAACTGCCTATTATCCCAAGATGCAGAGAGACTGGGATTGGGAAAATGTGGTGCTAGGCCATTTCCGTGAATGGGAAGATGGGCATGGTGGCTGTGTCTATGACCCCAGAGATAACAGGAAACCTAAAAGTAGACAGAGCTCTCTCTAATCAGGCCTGAGCCTGAGCAAGAAATGAGGCTCTATCCTAAAAATAACCAAGTGAAAAAAACAGAGCTGGAGGCATGGCTCAGTTTAGCAAGCAGAAGACTCTGAATTCAAATCCCAGTCCTGCCAAGAAAATTTCTATTTGAAGTTGGTTGAATCCACAAGCATGGAACCTGTGGCTATGAAGAGCCAACTACACTTAGTACCAACAACACTAATTCTACGTGGGACTCATACTTAGAAGAGTATGCAAAATAAACCAACAAAGTACAGAAGGAAAACATTAGCATTCCTACATATTATGCCTGTTGCATATATAGGTATGACTGATATATCCCAACATGCTTAGCATGTTAGTTGAGATGGAGTCTTGCTATCTTTCTGCCAGGCCTAGCCTGGAACCACAATCCTCCTAATCTCTACCACTGCCCTTAGCCTCTATTCATATTTTAAATTTGAAATTATGAAGAACTTAGGCTTTATGGACAGTTATCATACAGATGGGCACAGACATCTCAGTACAAATGAGGAGACACACAGGCAGCTTAGCATCTAACACAGCTGAGGGATTTTCAGCCCATGCATGAGCTGTGATTCCCATGTCTTATACCAAAAAGCATATTCTGTGGGCTTAATTGAAAAAGTGGCAACATGGATTATCTTTTCAATTTTATTTACACCAATCCTCACTAAGTAGAAGACAAGAAGCTTTAAACAAGTCTTGCAAAGAACTACAAATAGTATAGATAACAATGAAAACCCAAATGAAAAAGACAATAACAGGGTTTTGACCACCTGTCATAGATTTTTCTCAGACATATCACCAGATTAAACAGTAATAAGCCAATGAGATCTGACATGAAGTGGACAAAAGGCAAAACGCACAAAAGAACTCCTGATAATATCAAAACAACTTCATATCCACTGTTGTCATCAAAGACCTTTGCCCAAGGGAACATCATACCCTGGGAAACCAGCTAGAATTATTCTAATATGGTTTATAAAGAACTACACTTTTCTTAGTGGTATTTAAAAATGTGGAGATCACTGATATGGAACTTTGCTTATTCAAAGGGCAATTTGCAAAGGTGCAGCATCAACCTTGTATAGTACTGGGGCTTGAACTCTGGGCTTTACATTCACATTCAGATTTTCAATCACAGCTCTACCACTTGTCCAAACCTCCAGTTCTAGCCTTTTTTTTGTTGGTTAATTGGAGATAAGAATCTCCTAGATTTGTCTGCCAATAGGGTTTCAAACCTTGATCCTCAGATCTTAGCCTCCTGAGTATCTAGCATTGTAAGTGTGAGCCATCAGCACCTTACAAACTTACACTTTCTAATACCTATTATTATTTTTTGTATGCTGGTACTAGAGCTTGAACTCAGGGCCTGGGCCCTGTCCCTCAGCTTTTTATGCTCAAGACTAGCACTCCAGCATGGCACTGGTGGCTCACACTTGTAATCCTAGGTACTCAGGAGACTGAGATCTGAGGTTCACTGTTCAAAGCCAGCCTAGAAGCAGGAAAGTCTGTGAGACTCTAATCTCCTATTAGCCATCAGAGAATTGGAAGTGGTGCTGTGGCTTAAAGTGGTAGAGCACTAGCCTTGAGCAAAAGAGCTCAGGGACAGCTGTCTAGCTGCCCAGGTGACCAAGTCCTGAGTTCAAGCCCCAGGACTGACCAAAAAAAAAAAAAGACTGATACCCCACCATTTAAGCTTTCACTCCCAGCTTTTTGGTGGTTAATTAGAAAGAAGAGTCTCACAGAAAGTGGAGGCTGGCTTTGAATGCTGATCCTTACAGATCTCCACCTCCTGCATAGCTAGGATCACAGGCATGAGCCACTAGTGCCCAGTCTAATACCTTTCAAAAATATAAATTATTGGACTAGGAATGTGGCTTAGTGGTAGAATGCTTGCCTAGCATGCATGGAGCCCTAGGTTCAATTCCTCAGTATCACATAAACAGAAAAAGCTGGAAGTGGCATTGTGGCTCAAATGGTAGAGTGCTAGCCTTATGCAAAAGAAACTCAGGGGGAGTGCCCAAGCCCTGAGTTCAAGTCCTAGGACTGGCAAAAAAAAAATCCTTACAAACCCAATATTCAGTTAAATAATCTATGTATAACTGCCACATGATCTCCTTATTTGTTCCAGTCTACTTATAATAAATTTCCTAGCCTCAAGACAATTAAAAACATTGCAGCTCTGTGTTATCCCTTAGGTCCCTTCTTAACTTACTTTAGTCTGATCGTCGGCTTTGAAGACATAGCAGATACTCTGCCGGTGCGCAGAATCTTCCTTAATGAGACAAGCAAAATAACTGGGGTCGTGACTATTATGAATCAGTTTGTGCACACGCTGAGGCTTGCACTCAAAGATGCTGGAGCAGATCAGTGGGTCCCATTGTTGACTTCTCCCTGGGTCAGGTTCACATTTCAGTCCAGAGGGTGAAACCCAAAGTCGCACTTGCTTAGTGACAGGCTCTTTTTTGGAGGCCTGTCCACTAAGTCTTCGCACCTCAGCCACCACCCATGGCAGCATGGGCATGGTGGTGAGAGAATGCACAGGCAAAGAGCCTACCAGCTGAAGGCCGAAGTCCACCGAGACCTCATTAGGAAATGCGTGCTTCCTTGCTGTGAATGTTATGGGCTCCATCTTGGAAAAGGAATGGAGACTCAGCAAACCCTTGCTGCTGGATTCGTAGTGTCGACCAGCTGAACAATCCAAACGAACAATCTATTCTACACGCTTTTGATGCAGAATCCTGAAGGAGAAACAGAGGTATTAGAATTGAATAAAGTCACAGCAATAGCTACATTCAGAGAGTTGTTATTCCAGAACTTAAAAGTCTGAAACACAAATACAAGGAGATATAGATATGCGCTCAAATAAGCTACTCTGGCTAGAGAGCTTTCCCGAAATGGAATGATGAACCTGTCACACTCGTTATAGGATACAAAGACACCACTGGGAAAGTTCGAGAAAGCATAGGAATAGAGGGATAGCAAAGTCACGCATGATAGAAAACAGTATTTCTCTCCTCTGATGGCTTTACACCCTGTTCTATTCCTTAGCCAAAACGATTCCTTCCAAAAAGAAGTCTCATAGGGAAAAAAATCAACCATCCAGCAACCAAACCAGCTTTAAAGAAGTGTTTAAGGGTTCATCTACACACTTGTCAATTTTTACCCACCTCCATTTTTTTTCCCGGTCCTGTGGCTTGAACTCAGGGCCTGGGTTCTGTCTCTGAGCCTCTTTGTGCTTAAGGCTAATGCTCTACTACTTGAGCCACAGTGTCACTTCCAGTTTTTTCTGATAAGCTTATTGGAGATAAGAGTCTTACAGACTTTCCTGCCCAAGCTAGTTTTGAATCATGATCTCAGATCTCAGCCTCCTGAGAAGCTAGGATGACAGGAATGATGAGCCACTGGCACCTGGCTCCACAACCAGGGGATGAGCTAAGGGCCTTATCCACCACTGAGCTATATCCCCAGTCCCTACTCAAGTTATGAAAGGGGACTGTCTAGAGATTCTGAACTACAGATCTGTATTCTATTAACATCTCCCCAGTATCGTTATTTAAACATCTCCCACCCTCCTTCCCAGAACTTCTCTCCAACAGGGTTAACAGCATCGGTGTTGATTTTATTTACTATGTTAAGTCAGCTTTCAGTCACTGTAACAAAATCCTGAGATAATGAACATATTAACGAGAGAAAATTTATGTCTTGAGGAGATGATGGAATGCTCAAAGAGGTCTTCAGGTCATCAGGGGTGGATACTGGGAGGGGATAATGGGGCTTTAGCTTCTTCCCTGTCCTGTCTTTCGTTCTCAGTCATAAGGTGAGTGGTTTGGTCAGCTACTTGCTCCTGCTGTGATGTATAGCCTGTTTAGACTAGTAGGGGTCCATACTTTAACATTATATAGCATCGAGTCACTTAGATTCCTTCATCATATCAATACTTTTAACTCTATCATCTAAATACACCTTTTCTTTCTCTCGCCAATATCTACTTGAGCTAATTTGCAAATACACAGGATTTATCAGGTCACTTCTCTGCAAGTAGTTCCTCAATAACTTCTCTATCCTTAGAAATCTAGGTTCTTCTATGTGGCCTGTACAATCACTTTGGAATATGGTCCTGTATGTATCTCCAGCTTTACATTCTCCCCATGTCCTCCTTTGCACTCTTCTTGGCTCTGAAGACAGAGAACTGGACACAGTTCCCCACATGCAACGTGACTCAGTGCACAGTGCATCTTGTTCCTCTCTCCTCAGATTGTAATGCGGATGGCAACTTAGAAGGGGGCTTGGTTTTCCTTACATACAAGCTAACAACTTGGTAAAAGATAAGAGATTCCTGGGTCAGAGACAAAGGACAATTGATTACATGGACCAAAAGCAACAGTTAGTTCCTTGACTCCTCGTGCTCACAGGTCAGGTGACGCCTGTATCACAGGGTACTACAGGAGCAGAAGCTGAGCCTAGGGAACCTGACTATTAGGAAAGGAAGCCTGTTCGGCCTTACCCCAGAGAAAGATGCCTTCTCACATAGCTGGTTGCTACAGAAACATAATTGACAGTGTAGTCAGGATAAAAGCAGGCAGTGCCTCTGCCCACAAGATGGGTATAAACACTGGGCCATGAGGATCATCTCCTAGCCACCCCTACTCTTGTCCTTAAACCTAACTCATTTGAATGTCATAGCTCAGATGACCATCACCTCTTTTCTCCCAACATGATTCAGAGCTACCACCGTCATGTCCTTACTGCACTTTGGACCTAGTCATATTTATTTTAAGAATTGAATAGATGTCCTTCCACAGGATTGCAAACTTCTTAAACACTTTAAGACTTGGGGTTATAAAACTCAACATTTTAACTCTTTAGGAAAGAGAACAGAACACTATGTAGTTTTCCTCTTTTTTACATGAGACATATTCTGAAAGTAATGTTTAAATAAATCTGAACATATTTCAGATGTTTTTAATTTTAAATGTTCAAAAGTTCAAAAATAAACCAATGCCCTTATGATTCTAAATACATTTTGTGAAAGTGAATCCCTGGCTTCCTTCCTTCAATGTACAGTACTTATGATGATGAAATTAGCCTTAGAATTCCAAAATAAAATAATAGTCCTCTTTCTTCTCTGTCTCTCTTCAACTTACAGGTGAAAGTGGTGTTAAATGTCTGGCTTGACACTCACTCCTGTAACTGAATCGGCTTTAAGTTTTAACCGTTGACAGCTGCTAATCCCAAGACATGCCTACAGAAGTACTAGTATTACTACAAAGAACACGGCCGCATCTATCAAGTATTCTAAATGAAGCAGTTATTAATCAGGTGGCAACAAGGATAGCAAAACTACTCTCAGTTTTCTGCTCTTTTAAATGCCTCGGTAAATAATCAATCATCAAATTATACTGTCATTTTATTGACAAAACTATTTGAAAAACATAGTCTCTACTTGTTGGGGCGTGAACTCTGAGTCTTGTCTTAGATATTTTTGTTCAAGTCTGGTGCTTTACCACTTAAGCCATGTCTCCACTTTCAGATTTTTCTGGTTTAGTAGCAATAAAAATCTCTTTGTGGGACAACTGAAGATTCAGGTATATGAGCCACCTACTTTTTACTTTGTTTTTAAACAAGCATGCTCTTAGTTTCTGTAAAAAAAAAAAAAAAGTACAGTAGACTTTATTTAATATTGCTTATAAAATATCAAATGATAAGTTTGACCTCAGACATAACTGTTAAGTTGAAAACAATTCAGATACTTCTAATGTAAGATACATGGTCACTTCAACTAGATAATAATTACTTTTCAATAATAAGTTTCATGGATAGATACACTAATTCAGCAATACTAATAAGCCACTACATTGTTTGCAAAGCCATTTCAATACACATTATTTACACTTGACCCAGTAGAACCATCTATACCCTTAAGCCTCAGAGAGAACCAACCATCTATTCCACAGAGGTCTCTTCTGCTTTGTATCCATGGAAGACAATAATCTGATCTTTACATCATTGAGTGTCCTGTTAGCTTCTTCTTAGTAGAGTGCTATGTACAAGCCTAATTCTGTTGTATTCTACACAACGCCTTCATTTCTACAGTAACCCAAAAGACATTTCTACCTCTCTTAGAACAGTTGCTGGGGATTCCTACAATACTATCTCTGCCTGGAAGCGTGCACTTAAGATCATAAAATTTTAAAATCAACAAGGTTCTCTTATGCCATTTAGAAATATCCTTCTTAAGTGAAACTGGGTTCTGGAGAGGTTAAGTGGGCTTGTCCAAATTTAGTGACAGAATTAGGACAGCACAAATCCCGATTGCCCATCCAAGAGCCGCAAAGAACCTCAATGTCCCCACGAGGACATTTTCAAGTCTCAAGTTGAAAAAGCAAGTTACTTAACTTCTCCAAACTCAAGCTCATTCTTACAGCAGAACAAAACAAACTCATCTTGTTAAGTTCTGTCTGTAATCTGTGAATCTCATTTTCATAATGCATAACACCAAATGTCTCCAGCACAGTGTGAGGATACAAAGCTGCTTTTCTGAACAAAAATGAGGGGGAGCTACATGAAGAAGGGATGGGATCTATTGATCAGGAAGCAAGAGAAGCAAGGGTAGGTGTTGGAAAGTTGCCTAGTGGGAACCCCCTCTTTTCTCAGCCCTATCACTCTCTCCAGCAAGCCACAGAGAGTAGAATGTGGACTTTTCCATTGCCAACAACACACAGCCTCTCCAGAATGCTGGTGGGAAGGTGCTATGATTTGCATGGGGTTTGTGTGTGGCCCAAAGGTTGATGTATTGGAATTGTGGTACTCAGTATGACCATATTGACAGGTACTGGCACCATTAGAGTCATGGCCTAGAAGGAGGTGACTGGGTCATGACCTCCATTTTGAAAGGTTTAACGTTGGTTTCCTGGAGTGAGCTATGTCTGCAGGAATGGATTTGGTTCTCTAAGAGTGGGTTGTTATAAAGGAGTCTGGTTCCTCCTCACTGTCTTGCTTTCTCTCTTGACAGGTGATCTCTTATCCTCACATATGCCCTTGCCCTGGATGCTCTCCACCATATTGGGACCACAGCCAGGGGACCCTAACCAGATGCCAGTGCATCTGGCGACATTCCAGCCACCAGAATTATAACCCAAATAAATCTTTTTATAAGTTGTACAGTCTTGGGAATTTTGTTTCCACAACATAAAATACACTAAGATAGAGGAAAAAACAGATGAAGAAGATGGAGGAAAAGATGGAGGGAAGGGGACTAGGTGCTTCTAACTTCCAGCCACATTAGGAACAAGCCAATACTGACAACTTCTAGGGGATCCCAGTGGGAAATTCTGAGGTAGGCCCTTACTTCCCTTTGTGAATTGATGGTTAATTGAACAGGCATATGCCTGAGCAGAAGTCTCCTTCAATCTGAAGTTCTCTGAACTCATGCAACAGGTCCACCAACTCATGTACATAATTTGCTTCCCTACACAGAATCCCACCCCAGTCAGAGCAGTGAACTCTGCACCCAGCAGTTACCCAGGTAGCAATGATCTTTGCAGGTTTAGTTATTCACCAACTAGCCCCAGAAGCTGACACCCACAGATGCTTCAATAACTGGTGAGCCTAGCAACATGACTTGGACAATAATGCTGCTTTTAAATGGCTTCCTTCTTACATAAGTCAAAGGTCAGTTCTTGTATCCTTTTGTATTTTACTGCACAGGAAAAAGGGGTGGAGGATAGAGGTGCTAAGTAACCCTCAGAGCTTATATATAACCTTTCTATATGGTTGTTGTCAGGAATAATAATGGTTAACTTAGTAATAGCTCCAGGTGTGTATTAACTGATTTAACTCTTGAAACCACCCTGAGTAATATGGAGTATTTTATAGCATTTACCATCATGTCCAATTTAAAGTGGAGACAGGAAGGAAGGAGGCAGCACAGGAAGTGAGCACATCTGCCTAAGATCATCCTGGTAGAAAATGGCAGAAGGGATGGTGGGGGGAAAAACAAAGGAGGAGGCAACAATGCTTGATAAGAAATGCACTCATTACCTTGCTCATGTAACTGTAACCCCTCTGTACAGTATTCCCACAATAAAAAACATTTAAAAAAAGAAAATGGTGGAATCTAGATTTGAACCCAGATCTTTTGACTCCAGAGCTGGTGCTTGCTCTTAAGCATTTCACTAAAGGATTACCTATCAACCAACTACCTTTTCTGGGACACTTGATAGAGATGACCTTGGGTACTCTCTCTACTCTGAGAATGGCAGAATTTGAATCCAGACCTATCTTACACAAACTTTTTTTTTTTTTTGGGGGGGGGGGGGTCCGGTCGTGGGGCCTGAACTCTGGGCCTAGGCACTGTCCTAGGCTAGCACTCTACCACTTGAGTCACAGCGCCACTTCCGGGTTTTTTCTTTTTGCTTATGTGGTGCTGAGGAATTGAACCTAGGGCCTCAGGCATGCAAGGCAAGCGCTCTACCACTGAGCCAACTTCCCAGCCCTTACACAAACTTTTGTTCTTCCCAATATGATGCTATCTTTAGAAGGGAATAACCTCCAACTAATGGCTTAGCTTAGTTTATTCTAAGGTTTAGGTAGCCTCAGCAATGTAAATTTAGTGCCTAAAAAATAAAACAAATAGTAGCAACAAGTAGTTTCCATTGTGTTTATGTACCAGGTACTGTTTTAAACACTTTATGTTAATGTTAACAAGAAACCCCTATGTGCTTACCTACTTTGGAAGTTCAGATTCACCAACTACATATGATGCTTCACTAAAGTGAAAGATTTGCCTTTGCTTTCAAAGGGAGAAATGTCCGTGGTTATCTCGAAGGAGAGAGGCACAATCAAAACTAAATGTATGGGGCTGGGAAGGTGGCTCAGTGGCAGAGCGCATGCCTTGCATGCCAGAGGCCCTGGGTTCGATTCCTCAGCACCACATAAGCAAAAAAGAAAAAAGCCAGAAGTGGCGCTGTGGCTCAAATGGTAGAGCACTAGCCTTGAGCTGAAGGGCTGAGGGACAGCGCCCAGACCCAGAGTTCAAGCCCCATGACTGGACCCAAAAAAAAAAAAACTAAATGTGTGATAGCTCTAGAACATACTTCTTACATTCTTGTACTTGCTCTGGAACATAAATGTCAAGATAATTTCATATGGTCCACACGTGACAGCTCTTTTTATAACACTGGAAACCTGGAAAAGGCGTACACTCTCTAAGAACCTGTCAAAATATCAGAATAGATTTTCTTTTACTTGAAAGCGGAAATGGTCATGTCTTTTGTGAATAACCTTTTTAAAACATATTTTTATTGGAATGTGAAATTGAAAAGCAAGCGTTGAGGCCAGCCTGCAAAGGGAGGTATAAGGAAATAGTTCTGATTATAAAGACTTCAATCCTTTGTCGTTACTCCAGGGAGCTGAATCCCAACTTCCTCAGCTCCTGAGCAGACTCTGAGCACTGTCTGAGTGAACAGATTTCCACTTCTTCAAGTTTTAATGAGCAAGAAAAGTTTTGGGGCGACTGTGGCTGTCAAATTTGAGAAGTGCAGAGTGAACACAGAAAGAGCAAAAGCAACCGTGCCAAGACACACACACACACACACACACACACACACACACACGTATATGCATGAAGTCTCCAAGCAGACATATATACATTGTAGGTTCCCAGGAGAATCTGAAAAGTGTGGGGACTGGGAATCTACAGAGAAATACTTGGAAGGGTACAGGAGGCTTGAGGGGCTGTCTCTTATAGAGAGAAAATTAAAAGTATGTTCAAAGATAGAGTCCTCACCAGACATGGTAGCTCATGCCTTTAATCTCAGGAGGCATAGGCAGGGCAAAAGTCAGAGTACCATTCTAGGGCAAAAAGTTAAAATTTAAAAAAAAAGAAAACAAATAGGGCTGGGGACATGGCTCAAATAATAGCGTGCCTACTTAGTAATCAAAGCCTTGAGCTTGAACTCAGAGATGCTCACTAGAGCAAGAAGCTGGAGGCAAAACTAACAACAACAGAAATAAAACAAGCAACCCTCCTTCTGGTATATTCTAGAAGATTCCAGAAGAGGGCTAGATGGGAGTGCCCACTCTCACCTGGCTCTGCACAGTGGCACACATGATGGTAACTTCCGGCCTTCCTGGCCTGGTAAGGAAGGACAGAGGGCTGGTCCATCAGCCACCCATCATTTCTTCCTCATACCCTCTTGATACTGTGACATGCTGTCTTATGGGATAAAGGATGAATATTGACATGAGTGCCACCCAACCAGAAATGTTATAGAGAAAGGGAGAACGCCATGGTGACAGGGGCAGAGGGTGCATTTGTAAAACTCAACTTGGATTCCAATTCATTATCTGGCCAATGATAGTTTCTCCCTTGCGGAGGCCTGCAAATCACTGAACTGGTTCATGTGAAGGCATGTCATCATTCACCAGATGCTTCTGTTTCCTCCTTCGAACCACAGCTTATTCTTTGTCTCCCAATCCTCCATTAACTGCATTGTTAACTACATCATTTTGTACTCAGAATTTCCCAGCATGCACTTGAACTCACAGATCTACCCAGTCTTGGAGCACACATTATGTATAGAAGGATCTGGGGGTATCTTATTTCTCTATAACAAACAAATACAGGCGGATTGGAAACTGTGGTAGCATCCAATTTCAAACAGTTGTCAACACACCTTTTTACAAACTTTTTTTCCCTTGCAATTTCTAGATTCCTTAAGACAGTCTTCAGGGTTCCCAGGCAGGAGAAGGTGATTATGAGACACACCTCCTGAACCTAGTCCAGCCCTTCAATGCTAGCAGGGCTCACCGGCTTCAGCTCACCCGCTTGAGGGCCTGCTAATCCAAGCCAATGATAGAACGTGAACAGTCAGACAGGTGGAGGGAGTTTTGCAAGGTGATTCCAGCCTCCTGAAACGATGCTCCTTTCCTTGGTCTACTCTAACCCCTCCCCCACACAACAGGTTCCTCCCACACAACAGAACCCCAGGGTGGCAGGCCTCCACGCCTGCCAATCCCACCTTACACCTGCGGGGGATGAGGCATTTCTGCTCCCCCAAAACAAAGGTTCTTTATCGGGGCCTCCACGTTCAGCATTTAGGCCCAGTGCAAAAAAGTTTATAAGTTTAGACTTGTAGCGATAGCTAAGAGTTCCACGGGTGAGTGTGACCTATTTAAAGCAGGTCGTTGTAAAACTCCATCGGAGCCTAATTAGATAAATGAAACCATCCAATCCTCTCCAAAAGGAGAAGCAAGACGGGCTCGATGAAGCGAACCATAGACCCGGTGAAAACTAAAGGATTCTGGTGAGAGGAACAACCATCACTTTCAATTTCTTCTCCTTTCCGAAGCAACTTCCGGAGGACAAGCTATTTTAAATAAAATCACAACGGGGAAAGCCACGTTTGGGTGGATTGCAAGCAAACTGTCATCTCTTCACACACACACACACACACACACACACACACACACACACACACACACCTACCTCTCTAAAAGAAAAGCTAACAGCCATGCGGGGCGAAGTTTGAGGTCTCACGTCCACAGACGAGGAGGAAGCTGCTAGAAGCAATGAAGCAGGCTTTCAAAATGACTGGTACAGGATGTGCCCATCGAAAGCGGCGTTGCGCGTACCGGAGACGCTGCCAAAGTTGCTGCTGCAGAGTAACCCTGAACTTTTAAAGGGGGTGGCACGGGGTCACCTGGACCACCCCTTTCCTCCTAATCAGGCCTCCTGCGTTGCCGGGGAGCCTAGGAGATATTTGGCGGGAGGAAGGGAGCGAGGGCAGGAGGGAGGAGGCAGGAGATGCCGGGACCAGCCAGCCCGGGGAGGGGCCGGGTGGGAACTGCAGGAGCTCCCCACGCGGCGCGCATCGCACACCGAGGTTTCGCTTTCCTCCAGACCGGGGTGGGGTGGGGGGACCACAGGGTGGCACCGAACTCGCGCCCGCCACCGAGCCCCCCTCACGGTGAGGACAGCAGGATCGCCCCCCACCCACCCTCCCGGACTGCCAGGTTCCAAGGGAGCCCCAAGAGCGCGCGGCGCGGGGAGGGGATTCGGGGGGTCCGGACTCCACACCATGCCCAGGGGCAGACCTAGGAGGCGCCTACCTGTACTGGGGGTGCTCGCGCTCAGAGCCCCGGGCCCGGGCCGGGCGCGCAGGAGCTCGGGGGCATCCTGGGGAGCGCCGGGCGAGCGGGGCATCCGTGGTGCGCGGCGGCTACGCTGTCTTCCCGCCTCCCGGCGCTGCACCGCTCCGCTGGCTCCCGCCTCTCCTCGTCCTCCGGGCGGAGACCCCGCGGGTCCCACGGCGGCGGCGGCGGCAGCAACAGGCACCGTGGTCGGCTGGCGGCGGCAGCGGCAGCGGTGGCGGCGGTGGGGGGAGAAGAGGGAGGAGGAGGAGAGGGAGGAGGAGGAGAGGGAGGAGGAGGAGGTGTCTGCGCCCGCCCGGCTGGCGTTTCCCCCTCCCCCGCTGGGCGGGCACGGGGTGGAGGGGGGGGGTGGGCAGGGAGGTGAGAGGGAGGACTGGAGCCGGGATCTCAACTCCCGCGTCCCGGCAGCTAGGAGGAAGGACGCGATGTCCCCCCTTCCTCCCTGCGCCGGGTGAACCTGCCCCGCGGCCCAGCCCAGACCACGGGTCCCGGGCGACCCACAGCTGCTGCAGTGCGGGGCCTCCGCGGTCTCCGGGCCCTGCCTGCCTCCCCTTCCCCGCCGCCGTCCATCCTCAGCCCGCCCGGAGGTGGGGGTGGGGGTTCCCAGGCGCCCTCCCCCCGCACCGCTGCCCCGTGGGGACGCGAGGGGCCCCACGCGCGCACGCGCGCGCGGGATGGAGGCCCTGCGCACAGGATGTGTGGTCGCACACCCTGTTCTGGGCGATCTATTTATAGCAGGTGGCACTGCCTGGTCGCTGGCGGGGCCCCGGGAGCGGCTCTCAGCAGGTGGCACCGCCAGCCTCTACCCCCCCCCCCCCCCGGGCCTGGCCTCTCCTCGCCATTCCTCGCCCTCGGAAATGGCCGTGGTGAAAACTGAGCAGCATCCTTGGGGTGGGGTGGGGTGCATCACCCCTTCTTCCTGTCCTAGGCTCGGTTGCCCTATGGGGCAGGAAGGAAATAGGGGAGTCCGGATGGTAGGGAAGGTTGAAACGCGCTCCCTGGTTTATAAACCTCTGCTGAACCCCATCTGTGACCCGTGGCAGAAGTGACGCAGAGCCTGGATTGAGCGCTCTTTCCTTCCACAGGCCCCTCACACATGCACGCACGCACGCGTGAGCACACGCACACACTCCCGGCGGCGGCTTGAGGGGCATAAGGAGAGAACCACGGGATGGAAAAGGCCCCAGAAGTCTGTGCAAGAAACAGGCACACCTCCCAAAGCTCCGCTCCACCAGGTAAGAGTGGTAATTTCACCTGCAGGAAAGCAGAGAAAACTGGGGGACCCAACACCATCTCCAGAAACTAGGAGGAAACGGGGAGTCCGGCATGAAGAAGGGGGTGGATGCAGGGTGAAGACAGCTCAGAGAAACCCAGGTGGCATCTTGGAGGATTTGTGCCGTGGCTGGGTATGTTCAGGGCTATGCCCACAGGGCTTACCACATTCTCCCTGCCACTGGCATCCGTCGCGCAATGCTGAGCCCTTTCTTTGTTGTGGCAGTGTACCTAGTCTCGAATCTTTTTCTTTTTATTTATTTATTCTTTTTAGAAAAAGAGGTGAGTAAACTGGGCAAGGGTGGCTCACACCTGTAACCCTAGCTGTTCAGAAGGCTGAACTCTGAGGATCACAGGCAGAAGACTGTGAGATGCTTCTCTCCAATTAACTCTTATCTCCAATTAGCCAGAAGTGGTGCTGTGGCTCAAGTCATAGAACACTAGCCTTGAGCACAAAAGCTCAGGAACAGTACCCAGGCCCAGAGTTCAAGCCCCAGAACTGGAAAAGAAAAAGAGGTGAGTAGTAGATACGGCATGACAATTTTATTGAGTAGACTATGTATTGAGTTATAGAAATTATTTTTTTCTGATTATGAGACCAGAAAAACCAGTTAAACATGTGGCATTGTTTTCTCCTGGATCATACCACAGTTACTTGGTAGTTTTACCTTCAAGTCCAGGGGACAGTTCTCTTTCCCTCCCTGAGGTGGCCTGCAGAACATACCTGCCTCCAGAAGGCTAGGATTTGGGGAGATGCCTGACTGAGGGTGGCTGAAGTATTGCCCAGTGCCCCCACCCTAATAGAGAGGGAGGCAGGCAAAGTCACACCTAGGACTCTGCCTAAAGATGGTCACGGCCAGAGTCTCCCCTCACTAGGCTATTCTACTCCCTGTTCCTTTTCCTCTCTTACCTACTTCCTGTCTGCATTCCTAGCCCCAGAGTATTGAAGGCAGCCAAATAGCATCCCTAATAGGTCACAAAGGTAGGAAGTGAAGGAGTGGGGGATGGAGGCAAAGCTAGGCCTCGTCTCTCATATGCAATGAGACATCTTACCCCACCCCACTGCTGAAACTAGGAAGTGCTAGCTCCATATCTTAGTGGCAAATGACCTACTCCTAACACAGGTCAAAAGAGGGCCACGGGCTTATGAGAAGCAGCAATTTCTGCAGCACTTTTCTAGTTCCCAGGACTAGTTGGTGCCTGAGCAATGATATGCCAGATTTTATAGGGCTTTTTGCTTTCTAGAAACAGAACTCCCTCTGTCACACAAAGAATTCTGAATTTTATTTTTCCTGTACAGCTTTTTTCTGCCTACTTGCCCTTTGACTTGTAGCAGCTCTAAGAGAAATACTAGAGACTCTAGAGCTCTTCTTATGAGTATGTATACCAGAACTGGGGTTAGAACTTAGGACCCAAGTGCTGTCTTTTAGCTTTTTTGCTCAAGGCTAGTGCTCTGCCACTTGAGCCATAGCACAGCTTCAGACTCTTTGGTGGTGAATTGTAGAGAAGAGTCTCATGGATTTTCCTGTCCAGGCTGGCTTTGAACCTCGATCTTAAGATTTCATTCTCCTGAGTAGTTAGAATTACAGGCATGAGCCACCATCACCTGGCCAAAATAGGTTTTAATCAGTGGAGCCTTTCCAAAATTAAGATTGCAGGAGACAGAAGCCTAGCATACTGAAGTGGTTCATTGCGTGCACGGGCTCATTGGTGGGCAGTGACTGGCTGAAGCCCCAGTCAGAGAAAGTTCTAGCAGCAAATCCATGATCAGTGGACAAGTATGCAAGAAGCAGGGTTGTGCCTTGAGCATGGACAGAGTAAGCATCCCAGCACCAATGCTGCCATTACCAGCCCTGCCAAGCCCACGGGGATTATTCTACTCTAAAGAGTGTCACGTCCTGGCCAAAGAGTTTAGCTAGAAATCCATGTGGGGAGAAAGAGGCAATGTATCCAGCCGGAGCAGGCTTCTGTGCAGCGTCTGATGTCCTTTTATGGACAAAGTGGAGAAAACTCTGGGCACTGCTCCCCTTCCCTTCTCAGCAACCGCTCTTATTTGTCATGGCTCTGCACAAACAACTCAGTGCAGCTCTCTGAGGGTGTCCAGTCTTACCAGGGGTTCCCACTTCCCCCTGCTTCCCATCCAAGTAGGCCTGGGCATGGCTGGCTTGCACACACATCATGCCTTGTTATGATACCTAAAGTCATATCAGGTCAGTGAGAGGCTTGTGATTGGTCCCCATGATTTTACAGATGCTGTAAGCAGCTGAGCTTTCAACCCTGCAGGATCCCCTCCCCTCCTCTTTCAGGGCTGTGAAGGCATGGCTGATTCTTGTGAGTCTGGTTAGAATGTAGTAGCCAGATAACCTCCACCCTGCTCTTCTCTTTCTACCCCAAAGGCTTACCTCAGTGTAAAAGCTCAGGAAAAGCTCAGCACCAGTGGCTGTAATTTAACTACTCAGGAGGTTGAGATCTGAGAATCAAGGGTCAGACCAACCTGGACAGAAAAGCTGGTGAGACTCTGATCTCCAGTTAACCACCAAAAAGCCAGAAGTGGGACTATGGTTCAAGTGGTAGAGTGCTAGCCTTATGTAAAAAAGCTAAAGGACCATGCATGCCCAGACCCTGAGTTCAAGTTCCAAGAAAAGAAAGAAAGAGAAAAAAGCCAAGAGAATCTTTTGAAATAGCAGTTGGGCCCTGTCATTACTTGACTTAGAACCTTCCTGTGGCTTCTCAGACTTCTCAAGAGTAAAGGTTCAAGTCCTTACAATCCCTATAGGATCTTTAGAATCTTCCCTCCACCACCCTCACACCACTGCTCCTGTATCGCATCACCAATGACAGCTTCCTCACCCCACTCCTGCCACTGGCACAAAGCCTCCAGGCACACTCCTACCCCAGGTTTTGTGCCCACTATGCCCTGTGTCTAGTAGGTACCCTCAGATAGGCACTTTGTCCCCTACTTTCTTCAGGACTTTGTTTACATACTACTGTCACCATGAGGCCTTTCTGACTACCTTCTGGAAGATGGGATCACTGCTACACACACATATGCATGCACACACATGCAAACACACATGTGTGCATGCATGTGCACACACGCACTAGTTGCCTCCTTTTCCTGTGTTGTATTTCTGCACAGCACTTGCCCTCTACTAAACTAAGTTGGCAATTTGTCTATCTTGGCATCTATTCTTCCCCCTTCCATGGGAGCAGAAAAGTCTGTCTGTTTTGTTCACTGCTCTATTTTCAGACTAGAGCCCCGCTCATAGTAGGTGTTCAGTTCATCTGTGTTGAGCAAATCAAAGGATGGAAATATCAAACATCACATGGCATTTGCAGGTTTACCGAATCTCTTTGTATCATCGCCCCTTTGATTATCCACTTCCTACGTCTTCCCTCCCCCCCCCCCCCCCCCCCCGTACCCTGTCAGGTTTCCCAACCATGCTAGCAGGTATGTCAGTCAGTGCCTATCCCCAGAGGAGCTGAATGCTAAAACATGGGATGCCTTGTTTAACACCCACGTAGTATCTGATGTCCAGGTCCCTCATGAAAGAACTGCACGGTCATGCCATAACTGAGAACTCACTCCAGAAGTAGCTGGAGTGAAGTAGCTGATAGAAGTCAAGTTAAGAAAGATGTGATTTTGGAGCCTTGCATGAAAAAAAAAATCCAGTAGGTCCTCCAGAATCTCCATCTTCTGAACTCAAGTTCCTCATCAGGTCAACCCACGTGAAGAAAATGTATGTGGATTCCATCTTTTTTTGAAATAGATGTTAACATTATTCCATTCATGCATATTGGGAGAAAACATTTGATCAAAATTCCCTGTTCAGTCTGGGAATATTGTTGAGGAGGTTACTTAACACATTATGCAATGACCAACCCTCCCTCCCTCCCTCCATCTCTCCCTCCTTCCTCCCTTTCTTTCTCCCTTCCTTC